GATGTTGTGCAGGTTTTCGGGGCATTTGCTGTTTGAGAAAGTTATTGGTCTCAGTTGTCTCATGGAAAGTTTTGTTAAATGTCTTCGACCCAAACCACCCGCCCTTGGTTGGTAATGACTACAGTGAAGGTTCTCCATGGGAACATAGAAGGGAGTTTCGTTGCACATCAGCCCCACCCCCAATGCTATCGCTGCAATCATTTCCGTTTACACTGAAGCCGTAGCATATCTTTGGCATAATGTGACTGTCCATGCAAATGGCCTTGATAGTTTCCCGCTGGCCAGTTTTTGATGCATATTGTCATACTATTAATGATTTCATGAATATTCTGGATGATGTGAGATGGCACCTTTTCGAGGAATGGTCAGGCTCATACAATCGACTTTTTTGTTGTCTTTCTAACACATAGTTCTTCACATAGAGTTATAAGTCTTCTCATTTACAAGGGGGCGTACCTTATCCTTCCTCCAGGGAGAGAGGGACAAAAATCTTCAAATTTTCTTTGTCTTCTCAGCCGGATTGCTTCAAGAAGGAGTCTATTTGTGGTGTATGTGTTTGTGTAAAAGTAAATATATGTTGAAAGTAAGAAGTTATATCGTTGAGCACAAATAAATTTGAAGGGAATTCCCATTCCTGTAGGCTGGGGGAAGGATAGGATACGGCCATATCCTGATTATTGAACGTAATACCTCGCCGTTGCCGAGCTTACTTACCAACAGCCGTGATTTTGAAAATATGTCCTATGGTTATGCAAAAACATCACTGCAGGAAAGTCTTGCCCAGGAAATCATGTGAGAGCCATGTGACAAATCACAAAAGATGGAAACAAAATGCTAGAATGGTCGAAAAGAAGTGCGTGTGAGAATGGCAAGAACATGGGGAAGATGTGAAGTCCAGCCAGATTAATCAGTCAATCCAAATAGTTTCACTTAGGAAAAGTCAGGTTATAGGAGGAAAGTTCAGCGAAGAAAAATTATGTCACAAGTGGAAAAAATTCAGCACGTAAATGTCTTGTTCAGTCCATAGTTGTCGTTATGCTGAAGCTGGCTGTTAGCCGCGTTCATAGTCCGCGACTTGGAAGATTAGGATAGTACGCGACAATGAAAAGATATGTATTGACGGGGAGATTAGGATAGTAGTAGATTAGGATAGTAGGAGAGTAGGATATGCGCTGACAGAGTTGTAGATTACGATATTGAGATAGCAGGATAGTAGTAGATTAGGATAGTGCGCTGACAAGATTAGATATGTATTGATCTATTCGCTTGAAGTCGCCCAATCTACTACTCTCCAGCGATTTCAATCGATACGTATCCAATCTTGTCAGCGCAGTATCTTCTACCACTTCCTGAAATCTTTCTAACCTCCCAAGTCGCGAACTATGAACGAGGCCTTAGGAACATGCGTCGTACCATCCCCAAATGAACATAGAAACAGTTTTTTCCTGTTGAATTTTTTGTGACTCTTTTCTATTGTTCGTGTTTGTCCGAGTTTTACGATCATACCTCTTTTTTAGTTTTATTTAAGGTTCATTTTATGTCCAATTCATAGCCCCACGACTTGCTAGAATGGAGATATCTACTCAACAAAATTCTTTAATACCATCATTTCAACGATATTCGCAATGCGAAGGTGGATCTGGGGCGTCTTTCGATGTCTGCATGGACGAGTACACCTTTCATGCGGATTTTATGGACTGTGGTAGGTTCAGCTACTTCATGACATCCAGCAACTCGGTCGCATAGACAATAATTCATAGTAAATATTTACTGCATTCAAACCTTCATTTCTTTTCATTTGCAGACGATGAATGTTCCTCAATGGGTTCATCTGTTCCTTCATCCGGAAACGACTCTGAGGGAAGCAGTGATAATTCTGATATGATAGAAGCGGGATCAAGTGAAGCAAGGTTGCGTGAACGAACGAGGGTAAGAATTGCTTAAAAGTACCTTCCAAAAATTGTATATTTTATCTTTCATCATTTTCAACCCTAACAAGTTAAAGTTATTTATATTCCCCCTATGAGGTTCGTCAGCCAAGACATGGTCACCGTCACTATTCTCGGAGTGGTTTTTTTCGATCCTCATTCCTCGTTTAGATGACGATGGTACAACGTCTCGCTTCCAACTCATCATCGATTCGATTTTTTTTAGTTTGAGTCACTGTTCCAGTTCTTCTATCCGGCATTTTATTGCGTGGCAACAATGTTACTCGCTACAGCTATAGCTAGAATTCGCTACCGATATAGAATGTCGCCATTGTTTCGGCGTAATAAAACTGACGGGTGTTTGACTCGGAATTGGTGCGCCTTACCAATTGACGACTTCAAGTTTTCCTGTTCGCTTTCACTCGGGGTAGGAGACTAGCAAGAGTTTTGGAGGAGGAAAGGGCAACATTCGAGGAAATTCCGATGTGGAGCTGTTGTCTGGAAACAGAAAGAATATTCAGA